AAAGATAGCTCAAATCAAGGCTGCATCAACCAGAAGAGTAATAGTTTGGATTTTTTTTCTGTTTTGGTCAGACTTCACCTGGCATATCTTGCCCACTGGTGGGCATCTCAATTTGAGAAAGAGATCAAGAAGCTGGAAGGTCTCTAGAGGACGACGGTCGAGATGGCAACAGGTCTAAAAACCAAGAGTTGAGTACGTTTGGCTTCAAGAAAAGAAAGCCAAAATGTGGTAATACGGCCATCCTCAGCTATCTGAATAGTTATCTCGTTTAAGATTGATCAAGCTTGTTTTCTGTTGCTCCAGAGGGAAGGACTCCCAGCAGTAGATTAAAAGTGTAAGGAGATTCTGACTGAACATTAGGAAGAACATTCTGATGATAAAAGCTCCCCAACAGACGGCCTCAGAAGGCAGCAAACTCTTCTTGGACTTTGATGGTTTTCCATGGAGGGGAGAGGACGTCTGCCAGGGGTATGACACGTCTCAATCCCATCCTTGTTAAGGGTTTGGACTGAGGTTCCCACCAGCGCCAGAATTCTATGACCTTCCAGATGAGATCTTTACACAGGGTTGCTGCTAGGCCTTAAGTCTTGGAAACTATCCTTCTTCAGTACACGGAGCTATATATAATACTCAGTTTCAGTTTATTATGGGCGAAGATCATAACATATTTATAGTACTCCTTTGGTTTGGAGTCCCCACTCCCACAACATGCTTGAAAGGTAGTCCTAGAGAAGAGAGGAAGGTTCTCATTCATCTCAGAATGCAGGACACGTAATAATGGACTCAAGCTACAGGAAATCAGATTTAGGCTGAATATCAGGAAAAACTTCCTAACTGTTAGAGCAGTACAACAACGGAACCAATTACCTCGGGACATGGTGAGCATTCCAACACTGGAGGCATTCAAGAGAAAATTGGACCACCGTCCGTCCGACCTGCTTTGATTTGGATTCCTGCCTTGAGCAGGGGGTTGGACTGGATGCCCTTCGAGGCCCCTTCCAATTCCACAAGTCTTTGGTTCTATGAACATGACCCTACATCTCCCATGACAGGAGTGTAAATGTGAGGACGTCACAGGCAGAATTTTAGGTAGAAACAAAGAAAACAATTTAGATCTCTGAGTTTCTCAGAGTCACTGAAATAGACCTGGAAAACAGCTAGCTGCCTTCAATAAATCTTGACTACCCAGGCTTTGATATCTTATAAAAATCTAGGAAGCAAATAGGGAATAAATGTGGATTGGGTTGTATGAAGAGCCTGCTGTGTCCTTCAGAAGAGGAGCACAAATACTTTGTGGTCTGGCTTTTTGTGACTTTGACAGCCAATGCCCTCCCTTTCTCCCTGCCAACTTACCTCTGAAAGAGCTCAGCGTAGGAGCTAGCCACCTTCCCCACCAGGCCCTGCTTGGCCGTCCGTTGCCGCCTCTGCAGAGAAGCCTCTTCCTGAATAAAGAGGACAGACGACCGGTTAGAATAAAAACTCTGAATGCAAGGAGGGGGCTGTGAAACAGCAGAGGCACCTTAGTCTGCCAAAAGTACAACATGGAGAGAGGAAACCTGAATCCAGACCACAGCAGTTCAGATTCCAGGTAGGGCACGGAGGTGACTGAACAGATCTTGACTCAAACTTCCTGCACACAGAAATCCAACTAGCAGGAGGAAGGCTAATCCAGAGGCATGCTCTCTTAACATCTAGCCTTCTGGATAAGAGGAATTTTAATTCATTTATTTATTTTTCAGCTGGCTGGATAGCACAGGGGTTTCAGTATCCTGGCTGCAGAGCTGACGGTTGGGAGTTCGGTTCCCCCACTGGGCCTCCTGAGGGTACAGCCAGACTGTGCACACATAGGGTTGTTGCCATAACATGGAATTGACTGGATTGCACACACAGATTAGTTGGCTGGACAGCCCAGTGAGTTCAGGATCTAGCTGTAGAGCCAGAGGCCAGGAGTTCAATTCTCCTGCAAAGTAGAGCCAGCCTGGGTAGCCTTGGGCCAGCTGCACACAGTCCCAGGGATCCCCCCCCTCCCAGAAGAAGGGGTGGGGAAACCACTTCCAAGTCTTCTCTACCTGGAAAACCCATGAAAAGATATTCACCCTAGGTCAGAACTCACTTGACGGCACATGATGATGATGATGGTGGTGGTGATGATTTCTATTTCAGAAGAAGCAACCCCAGGAGCCCATCCCAGTTTCACAGACTGAAGTGGCAAAGCCCAGATTTAGCACCTCAGGGATAACCACCTCCCCAGAAGCTTGAAGGATCCCATCATTTCTTGGAAGGCTGGCAGGGAGCGCGGAATCAGTGGCATCTGCCGCTTTCTGCAAGAACTCAAGGACCAGCCTGAAGATATTCCCTTTTTTTTTCTCATCCAGCCTCTCTAAGTCTAGTTCAAACAGCCCCCTGTGGGCTTAACCCCCACCCCTATTTTATCATCGCAATAACCCTGCAAGGTAAGTCACGACTGGCTGAGGATCACCCGGTGAGCTAAGCAAAGATCTTTTTACAGGGGGGAGGGGGGTTCTGCAGCCTTGAACCTTCAACCCTGCTGGTTGACGGAAGGCAGGCAAGCCCCTGTCAGGAAGGAGTCCAGGTAGACCAGAGACCCCGTCCAGGTCTTTGACTGTTTCTGCATCTCGTCAACTCTCTGGATGGCTTACAGCCCCCTAGCTTCGAACTGGCCCCCTGCTCTTCTACATTTGCCAGCAGCCTGGCACATAACCTTCCCCAGAGGCCGGAGACCCTCCTTCTTAAGATCACAAAACTGTCTTGGATGCCCCGGCCGGCAGGCCAAGGGGAAGAGCTTCCAGCCCTGGAGGGAGCTGAGCCAGAGCGTCTCCTGCCTGTCTCGGCTGGAGAAAAGAGGCTGCTAAAGCCATGGGGGCTGGCCAGCCTTCCTTGAACCCCTACCTCTCTCCATGTTGACGTGAGCCTCTTGCTCATGGGGGGATAACGCAGAGGCTTCCGGCTTTTCTTCTCCATCAGGAGCTTGTTCACTCCAGACAGCAGGACATTTGAGTCCTCGCCGGAAGGAGCAAACGTCTGAAATCCACGGCCACCCAGGCACCCGGGAGCTGAAATTCAGCATTGTGACACCCTCATTCTAGAACAGCATTTCTGTGCCCTCAGGCTTCTCTGAGATTTCTCCTCTCCTGACTTCCCATGGTCATCTGCCGTGTGAAACTCACAGAAATGTTGGAAGGTAAACCAGACCCAATCAAACCATTTCTGCATCCGGGCCACGACTGTCTACTCCAATGGGTGGCCAAGATTCCAGGGTTTCCGGCAGAGAAGCATCTTTTCCCATCACCGGCCCTGACATCCCAAAATGGACATGTTGATGTGTGTGTGTGTGTCTCTGAATTCGGGACGATCCACATGAAAATCAGGTGCTGTCATTTACTTATGGCCCTTTCCTTATTCGTGATATAAATCTGCTGCACTCATACAAAGATCGTTGGTCTAGCCACCCAAGATTGCTGGCAAGGGCTTTTCACAACAGCCGCCTGTTAAATTTTTCTTCCCTATTTGAGACTCCTAAGCTCAGCAGCAGGCCTAATGTCCCCTTGCAGGGCACATGCAGCCCCAGAACCCACCCTCCCGCATTTCACATATATATTAATTACGTAATGTGAAATGAGGGAGGGTGAAAGGGGGAGATATATTTTTCCCCAGGAATCCCTCTTATGTCCGCTAAGGGGTGTAGGAGACAACTTTGCCATGTTTGGGGGCTCTCTAGCACCCTTTGGGGGAAAAAAAAATCTATAACTGGAAAAATAAAGATTAAAAGAGAGTTTAGGCCACTAAAGGCCTTTTAAGTTAAAAAAAGAGAGGCTTTTAGGGGAGAAAATAGGAAAGACAGGGTGTGGGAGCAAAGGCAGGCCTCCAAGCTTGACCACTCTGGATGGGTGACCTCGAGCACTTTAACTAGCAATGGCTTTACCTAGAAAAAGCTGTCTGGATATCTCAGTAGATCAGGTCTCTGTCTATGAAGCCAGAGGTTGGGAGTTTGATTCCCCCCCAGTGCCTCCTGGGAGTAGAGCCAGCCTGGGTGGCCTTGGGCCAGCTGCACAGACGTCCCAGGGCGCCCCCTAGTGGAAGACAAGGGTAAAGCTCTTCTGTACCTGGAAAACTATAAAGAGGGTTCAGCCTATGTCAGAATTGACTTGATGACACACGATGATGATGATGATGACAATGAGCTAGGAAGTGTGGGCACTGCATGTCAAACCTCTGCCACTGAGTTCTTTCCCCCTGCCAGGAAGTATGCTGCTTGAGGTCAAGAGAACCCTCCAGGGTCAACAGAAGCTAGTGGTCATGCTGATGGGGGGAGCTCCTTTTGGGGGACAAATGATTCTGAAAACAACCACAGTCCCACCAGCTGCCCCTCGTGACTCAAAACTGGGGAGCGGCCCCGTGGGGCTCTCTTGGCCACTGTTACAGGCCTCAGACTGCTTCCCCCC